CCCCCCCCCCCCCCCCCGAGGCTGATTGACTCGTCCAACCAACCACCAACTTTTAATCAACAGCTGAAACAGAAGAAAGTGCAGAAAAAGATACTAAGATCTATGGCAAACAAATAAAAATTAAAAGAATAAAAAGTTGGCAGCATAGAACAATGGATTCCAGTAGAATTTGTACCCGAAGACAAGCTAGTAAACATCTGAAGATAATATCAACCTGAGTTACATCATCATTCTCGTCTAAAATAGGCACACGAGGCGCAACTCACCTGGTGGTATCTCGTCTAAATCAGAGGTGAAGATCTTCAATGTCAGGTAGAACAGTTGTTTGTTTACCGGAGATTCTATTGGTCTGGCTGACCACCAGTTGACCACATGCACCACTAATATCTTGACCCATCTGCTTACGAATGGTTGTGCGTATATTATACGTACCCCGAAGAACTTGTTGGAATGCTGAAACTTTCTCATCACTACTGGTTTTGAATTGGCTTGAACTACCAATAGGATTGAATGGTATTAAGTTCACAACCTGTTTTTCCAGGAAGGTATAATTTAGTAACATCAAAATTGCTAAGTAAACAAAGGTACTAGATTCATGGGGCGATTACGTGTGAAGTCTCCAAGAAACTTTCGAACACACAAAAAAAATCATGATCAATGATTCTCAAAGCCACTTGCAAGAAAGAAAACGAATCACAGAGTCACTTGTTTATGCAATGCACATATGTGCTCAGAGTTTCTAGACAACGATTCTTAATATATTCGAATGACATCTCACATTTCCTAGGGAGGTAAAGGAATTTTTGGATATGACATTAACGTACCACCCTTTCAAGAATTTAAAAGCCCTATTATGGAAAAACCTCATCAGGGTTTATTTTGGAATATGTGGAAAGAAAGAAATCAGAGAATGTTTGCAGAAAAGACACATACCTATGCAAAACTTTTCGACAATGTTGTTTACCAAGCTATATCTTGGTGTAACCTGTCTAATATTTTTATTTCCTATAGTTATACTTCTCATTGCAAATTGGGAAGTTCTTTTGTAAACAACATGAATTATACATCCCTTTTGTAAATTTCAATCATCAATAAAATTGTCTTTAAAAAAAAAAACCATAATCTATATTGAGAGCTTACCACTAGAAATGTCTCTAACAACTTTCCAAGTTGGTGGGCATGTTGCTCTTCATCATTCACTCCGTCAAGCATTATGTACTCAATGAATATCTTTTGCTGACTGAAACAATAGAAATACATTTAAATTGGAGAAGCGTTGGAGTATCGCGACACGTTCAGCAGAAGCAAATACAACATATTTACCTCTTTTGTTGATATTCTTGGAGAGCATCCATAAGTTTTTGTAAAGGAAAAGCCCGAGCTGCAGGCATTATCTGGCAACGAATATCTTGCGCAGGTGCGTGCAAGGAAACGGCCAAGTTCAATCCCGGTAGATCACCATGCAGTTTGCTTATAGCATGAATAATCCCAACCTACAGGTATACAAAAGAATACAACTTTGACTACTCACCTTCTTTTAACAGTTTAACAGAACTCAAAGGAAGAGGAAACGGATAAGAGGATAGAAACTGACTTAGGAAACGGATAAGAGGATAGAAACTGACTTAGGAAACGGATAAGAGGATAGAAACTGACTTTCTGAACTCCCATTACTTTATTTTATAATCAAATATTCAGGATCAGACTTGAGAAAAATAAAGAATCTCAGACAAAAGACTCATCGTTAGGACAAACACTATTCTCAGATAACAAGATCACTGCCCTTGAAACTTTTTTTCTTTAACAAGAAACAAAGGTTTCATCGATTGATGAACACCGGCCTTGAAACTTCTTAACAACAAATGATAAATCCATCTTTTCACATAATCCAAAAGTATGTTGAGTTTAAATAATGACATTTGGACGTTGTCAAGAGGAGTGAAGGAGAAGATCTTAGTAGTTCAGTAGTTCTACACATTCGCGCAGGAATTGCACTATATGAGTGCATGACCTCAGTTTTTTTTTTTTTTTTGTAAGGAAACTGCTAACAAGTGAATACCTCCAAATATCTCAATTTGTATTCAATCCTTAGAGATGTGAGCCCGATACCTCATGAAAAAGAGAAGGAAAGGATCGACCATATTTTCATCCCCAATGTAGTTTTTATGCCTCATAAAAAAAAAAAATTATCGAAACTTTGGGTCCTCTGACAAGGCCTGTGGAGATACATGAGCCTGAACCCCAAGTAAGGACAAAGCCAGGAGACATGAACAACTTAATCACTCTACGATAACGGAACCATGCATACTTTGATTTTTCTATAATTGTTATCATTATTGGAAATTGAATGGCTTCCTATCCTCATATACCACTTCAATGATGGGAAGATGTAGCTTCCCAGTCTCATTTTCAATATTCTACAGGTAAATTCAATGTGTCTTGAAAGAAAGAAAATCAACAAATAAATCCAGCACTAAGATGAGAACTATCGGGAAACGGTGGAACCTTATAAATTCGTACAAAATTAGATAAAGGACCATAGAAATAGAAAACAGGAAGATCAGAGTACATACAGTTGAGATAGTAATTCTCTTGGGTGATAATAAGAATGGGGAGCCGATCATGACACGGACAGCTTCCACTAAAGCAGAATAGTTATTCAATGGTTCTCCCATTCCCTGTCACAAAATAATAAAATCAACATGAAAAAGTATATTCTAAGAGAAAAAAAAGGTATGAAATGATAGGAAAGCACGAGGCAGGCAACTTCTTGCTAACAAGGAAACAGAGGACAATTAAACAGACATGGGGCCACAATCTGCTAAGAAAATAAAGAGAAGGGGCTTGTGAAGTTGAATGCTCGAAATAAGCCAACAGTAGTCTGGTTCCTGTCATGCACACTTTGTCATTAATCACTACATCTGTCCACAATACCGTAATTCTCTGGAAAATTATTCAATTTTCAAAATTAACCTCACAGTCGAGACAATTTAATTGATGATTGAAATTTACAAAAGGGATGTGTTATCTATAGTGTTTATAAAAGACCTTCCCAATTTACAAGGAGGGAAGTATAACTATAGGAAGTAAAAATATTAGACAGTTTACACCAAGATATAGCTTGGTAAACAATATTGTTGAAAAGTTTTGGGTAGTTCTGTGTCTTTTTTACAAATATTCTCTCATTTCTTTCTTTCCATAGATTCCAAAAGAAAGTCATGATGAAGTTTTTTCATAGTAAGGCTTTTGCACTCTTGAAAGGGTGGTATGTTAAGGCCATATCCAAAGTCAATAAGTTTTGAACAGCAAAGAATGTTCAAGTGTAGGCGAAGAATGATATGGACATAACGCTCTAAGGATGCATACGCCCTAAGGATGCATAAGGATGTCTCCAAAGGGTCTACCTCTAAGTGGAAACTTTTTTGCTACAATAAGTCAGACAAATGAGAGGGTGGAAGAATCACCATGAAAACAACATTGCGTATTTGGAACAAACGGGAGGCATGGACCAACTGCTCTACTATCTCCCCTGAAGTCAGATTGCTTTTGTATCCCATTGTTCCGGTTGCACAGAATCTGCAGCCCATTTTGCAGCCAACCTGAGAACAGACATATAATGAGAAACTTATGATGAAATATCAGAAAAAAAAACAAACAAAATCAGAGAATGCTGACAATGCTGATGAAGAAATTAAAACCTGCGAAGAGATACAGAGAGTAGACCGCAGACCACCTGGACGAGGTTTGTCGCCATATTTTCCCAGCCGAGAATCATACCTCATGATGACAGCCTCCACAAAAGCCCCACTCTAGCAACATGAGGGGAAAAAACTAAGATCTAGGCATAAAGGCATGGGGTA